TTGCATGGAAAAGTGGTTGCAGTGGACCCAAATAGCATTTCTCAAAATAATATTAAATACGATCATCTTCCTGTTGCTGGAAGACCTGTAGAAATAACATCATGATGTAAATAATTTTACAATGTCTGTCAAATTTCCATTATGGTTGAACTATCACTTTAAGTAGAGTAATTGATAATTTAGCCAAGTCTTTGCCAAACTGTCAGTGGGACACATGATGATCAGAATAGGTGTTATAGATATACTTATTTTAAGCCAAAAAAAAAACCAAAAGTTTCTTGTGAAGTTTAGTTTGGTATTTGTGGTTTGTGTGGTACGCAGTGTATAAAACACAAAGAAAAAGGAAGTTCATTTTTAATGTTCTACGTGGTTCACAGCTTCAGCATAGAGCTATTTCTGAAGGCCAGCAAACAGATAGTCAAGTGTGTGTGTTTCTCTTTACCTCACATGTGCATTCATGCGTGGTCTCCCATTCCTGACGAATCTTATCCAGCTGCTCTATGTTTGACATGTACTGTTTCTCTGTCAATCGAGAACAACTATCAGTCTCATTGGATTTCCAGCAATTGAAATCTTGCTTAAAAGTAATTGAATTGTGCATTTAAGGCATTACCAGCGTCTTTGAATGTGCTTCTGGTTCAGATGCATCAACTGATCACTTTTGCATTGCAATGTGTGAAAACAAAAGCGTATTTCCATTCTCACCTGCATCCGCAGACACGTCCCTGCACTGCTTTGCTTTGTTTTGCATCTGTTATGGAATAGAGCACAACATTGTTCAAAAATACTCAGTGGCATCAAACAATATCACTAGCATTTGTACCAAAATTACAAAAAACTCATTATTGGATCAAGAAAAACTTCAGTAAGGGGTCAGTACATTTTTTTTCTGTTTTACAAAGAAGTCTCTTATGCTCAGCACACTCCTTTTATCTCTTAAAACTCATCTTTGATCATCAAAATGACATTTTTAAATGATTTCTTCATTCCTTAAAACTGCTTGAATGTAACTCTACACCCTTGCTTCAAACAGTATACGTGTGTTACGTGTGTTGCTAATGTTACACAACCCATGTTCCCGTTCGCCATCTCTGAGTCAGACAGCTACCTTCTAAAAACCAACATCCTTAGAAACACTGAACATCATAGGAAGGCCCCACCCACACGCTGATGGGATTGTGATGGTGGGAAACAGGGGCGGTTCCCAAAATAATCAATACTTTACCTTTTCAGATTGTTTAGGGGTGACAGTGGGTGTACTGTTGAGCTTCTCCACAGTCTGTTCAGCTTCATCAGCTTCTTTACATCTCTGTTCATATGTCCTTTTAGACTGGGAGAATAGAGAAGTACAGGGTTATTATGGCACTACTCATATAGACTTGAATGATGGCCAAGTGAACCACAAATGACTTGAAAATGCTAAATATATTTAATTCAAATTTAAATTAATATGCGCTGGAATTTCTTGTAGTCTTAATAATTAAGTAAGACTACAAGGACTAATTAAGAACCATTTGTTACATTGACATAGTGCTTTTTGCTTTAGATAGAAATATGGGAAATGTCCTCAAACCACCACCAATGAGCACATCACCTGGATATGTGGCGGCAGGCAGCCATTTTTCACCAGAACACAGCACTATGCTTATTGAAGGAGACAGAGTGAGAGCAGAGTGATCAAGCCTATCAATATATAGAGAAGATAGGACAGATGATGGTAGAAAGATGCCAATGGGGATCATTTTTGGGGGGCCTTTTCCCGAAGAACCATCCTAGGTTGTGTTGATCCCAGAGAGAGTCAGGACCACAGTTTAATGTCTTATCTGAAGGACAGTGGTGATTTACTTTTCTCACTCTTTTGTGTCATGAAAGTCACAGAAAAGACAAGAATAAACTTTATCTACTTAAAAATTGCTACTTTCATGTAATCTGACTCAACTGCTTTTTTACTGACCCAAAATCAGCTCCAAATTAAACTGATAAATGATGAAGTAATTCAATGTACAACCGCCATAAAGCAACAGGAGAACAATACATACAGTAAACTAATGTAAAACTAAACTTCCTTTTATATAATTCATTATGCTGATATCACATTACTTTTTTTTACTTCCTCCAAATGCTTCTGCTGCTTATAGAAAAAAACACTACCATACCATAATGCCCATCATTTTTATGTGATCAGAAATGGCAGATTTCCAGTACTGCTAAATGGAAGATTGCAGAAATTCAGTTGATTTTATTTTTAAGACGGAAACGGAACTCACATTTGTGGAAGCTCGTTTCTGCCACTGAATAAAAAATAAAAAAAGGTAATTGCCACTTTTTATTTCGCAATTCCAACCTTTTTCCCAGAATTGCGATAAAAGAAAGTTTATATCATGCAATTCTGAGAGAAAAGTTAGAATTGCGAGATAAAAAAAAGTCAGAATTGTGAGAAAATAGTCAGATTTACGAGATTTAATATACAAGTAACATATCAGAAATCAGCATCTTAATCTTTAGAATGTCATCAAACTTTCCTCAAAACAAGGACATAAAGTGGTGCCTAAAAAAAACGTAAATTGAAACAGAAACAAACTATCTGTGAAATTAGATACTGATAACCCTTCTGCTGATATTCCGTGTCATAGCAAGCAAAGCGTCTCATCTGAAAAAAAAAAAAAAACGCTGCACTGCCAAAACACTCACCGTTTTCAGCTGTCTAAAAATGTTTGTGGACACCCTGCCTTAGAAAAAAAGTTTCAATAAGGTTCTATATAGAACCCTAGGGTTCTTGACTTAATTTTAAAGAACCATTTATGTCAAAAAGGTTCTACATAAGAAGAAATTCAAGTGATAAAGTATGTTTATGAGCCGTTTAATTGATCAAATTAAATTAAAATAAAAAAAATGTGAAAAACTAAATCCATAAAATATTCTCATGATGGGAAACCCTAAAGGTTCTAAAGTTCTTTATAGAACCTTTTTTTTTTTTTTAATAAGAGTGCAGGTACAGTCTGCTGACACTCTTTTGTGCTTTTGAAAAATGGTTGAGTTGTCTAGTCTTGTCTGTCTGGCACCTTGTTTACTGTGAGTGCGGTGAAACTCCTTCAAGTGCTTTTGAACAATGGTTGAAATTCATTAACTACACCTTCGGAACTACAGTAGGCTAACTATCTTTCATTTAGTGGTTATCATAACCCTCATCTTTAACCACTAAGTTAGACAACCACTATGACAGTTCCTGACTAGAACAGATAGTCACGTCCCCTTTTACTCGTTTGTTTATCATATCAGATCGGTTTTCACAATGCTATATGAAAATACGAAGTAACTTAACCTTTCAACATCTCCTCGCCTCAGTCCTAACCTAACATACACGTTTGCTTTCTTAATGTGTCTGATGTACCAAGACAAACGGAAATGCATATTTTTCTTAGCAACAGCAGTCTGTTTCAGGAAATTGCAAATATACGAGGAACAGAAAAAACCCAGCATTGATAAAATAGAGTCTATGTTGGTGAGAGTGAACAGAAGTGTGCCCGCGAGAAAAAAAATACACTTCTAGTAGAGAAGTGAGACTTCCTGAAGTGGCAGTTACAACATTTTGAAGACCCATCCCCCTCCCTGCCCTGCACACTAGCTGTAAAGAGTTTAGCACAAGCACTGATGATTTAAATCACTCTCCTTTCTCCCTTCCTCTCTTCCTGATATTCTGCTTTCAGTTTGTAATAGGCAAATACATGATATCCCATAAAACTGAAGTGACTGCAGCAAGTTAGACTCACCTCTATGGTTTTCTTATGTAATGATACTTTGATCTTCTGAACCTTTTCCATGACCCCTTCAAACTGTAAAAAGAAAACATTTTAAGTCATTTGAATTATTGAGCTTTAATAAATCACATTTACAATTGGTTTGCACTTATGAGAAAGTAATTTGCGGTTCTGCTAGTTTAGATTAATTAAAGGAGTAGTTCAATTTTGAAAAAAACTTTTGCTGATAATTTACTCACCCCCATGTCATCCAAGATGTCCATGTCATTCTTTCTTCAGTCGAAAAGAACTTGTTCATCAAAATGAACAAATCTTTTTCCGAGTCAATTCGTTCGTTTTTGTTCGTTGAATGAACCAAATGACTCAGAAAAAGATTAGTTCATTTTGATGAACGAATTCGAACAGGAGAGTCACGAACGCGCATCACAGAACAGAGCAAGGCGAGCATTTGAGCTTATAAAACTTAAACTTTGTTATTTATTTATTAAATGAGCGATCGTTTCGCTTGATAAGACCCTTATTCATCGTCTGGAATCGTTTAAAGCCCTTTGAACAGTTTGCAGTTTTCACTGAAAGGACTTTAGGACCTTGAACCGTTTGGTACCCACTGAAGTGCATTATATGGAGAAAAATGCTGGAATGTTTTCATCAAAAACCTTAATTTCTTTTCAACTGAAGATAGAAAGACATGGACATCTTTGATGATATGGGGGTGAGTAAATTATCAGCAAACGTTTTTTTGAAAAGTGAACTACTCCTTTAAAGCATCGCATAGCATTTCACCTTTTTCCGCTGCTCCTTCTGTCTCTCTCTGAACTGCTCCATTCGTTTCACCTCTTCTCGTAACATCCCAGAAAGCTGAATGTGCAAATTTCCAATGTTCTCCATTTCTAGGATAGAAAACAGCATATTCATGAATGATCTTGGAGGTATGGGTTTAGTATATTACATTATATGTAATCTGGATAACGTAATCAGATTCCAAAAATGATATACTTTTTTTTTTTTTTTAAATAATCAGAGTTACATTTTTATTGATAACATGACTATTTAAAGGAATAGATCACTTAATAATGAAAATTCTGTCATCATTTACTCAACTTCAAGTTGTTTTAAACCTGTATGACTTTTTTTATTACACAAAAAACAAAAGAAGATATTATGAAGAATGTCTGTTTTTCCTACTATGGAAGTCAATGGGGTCCATCAACTGCCTGGTTACTGACATTCTTCAAAATATCTTCTTTTGTGTTCAGCAGAAGAAAGAAAATCATACAGGTTTGAAACAACTTGAGGGCGAGTAAATGATAACAGAATTTTAATTTTTAGGTGATCGATTCCTTTAATATTCACAAAATGGCAGTGAGAATCATTATACATTTACTGACTCTCACTATTTCTAATTTTACACCCTTTAAACGGTCTTTACAACAGCATAATGCTTATGTATGATCAGAAAGTCTTCAAAGTCCACAGCATAGCAAATAAAACAGCCAATTAATCAATAAAACAATATTTTTTTTGTTTTATTTTGATTATTTTATTGACCTTTCAATAAACCCTCTGCAGTTACTTTTAATATTGCAATTTCCTGTTGTAATGTAATGTTTAATACACTTAATTTTGTTGATGACAAAAATGTTCCACATTTTGTCTCTATTTGTATTTGCATATCACTTTAGTATGAGATTAAAAAAAAAAAATTAAAGGCTTAAAGTAAGGTCAAAAGTAATCAAAAAGTAGTCTGATTATATTATTGTAATTTAATAAATTATGTTACTAACAACTGTTTTCAGTTTGTAAGTAATCTACCCAGCACTGTAGTATATTTAGTAGCCTATGTTTTATATTCTATGGGTGTTTGTGAACACTTTTTAAAGCAAACTAGCAAATTATCATATGGGCTGTTACTTACGGACTTTTAGTTGGTCAAATGATGCCTTCAGAGTGCTACAAGACCAAATCAACAAAATGAAGACAAAAAAAATATTGATTAGTACACAAAATACTAAAACAAGAAGACATATAAAATAATGCATACAATGTTTGGTTACCCAATTTCACTTTGCCCTCCTGTCTTGCGTGCGATAGTAATCAATTCCTTGCCGTATCTTTCCTCTGCCATCGCCCTATGAGCAGAGAAGTGTACTATGTTAACCAGTACCATTTTACTAGACCATAACAGACCAATGCTAATCAGCATACTTTGAAAAATTTTCCAGTGTTACCTCATTTTTAAGAGCTCTTCCATATCTTTGCAAGCTCGTCGCCCATCACATAGCCTTTGGATAAGAGTGTCATATCCAATGTTGCTGGTGAAGTCTGGGCCCTGAAACCAAGAGGATTCGATTTCTCCAGTACCATATAACAGCAACAAGATTTAGGTTATGAGGGACTGTGCATCTCAGTTTTTATCTTGAATCACCACCATGTTCATAAAAATGAAGCCTTATTTGAAAAGTATATCTATGCAAAATAGAATATGTGGTACCAGACTGTCTAAGGTGGTTAAACAGTTTAATTATTGACAAAGTGCGACAATATTAACATGAATTGCAACTGAAAATGAACCTATATTTGCAACTGAAAGAAAAAGACTATTTTGACACCAGCTGGTTGCACACCCTAACACTGAATAGCACTTGCGTGGCTTTACATGCAAATCAACCCAGAAGTCGCTTTGTAGATGGATGCTCCGACAACACAGATCAAAGCAGAGAGGGTAGAGTGGGCACAAAGTCAGCCGTTTAACAAGAAGCCCACAGATCATCTTCCATGACACAACGTCAGAATGTCTAAACCCACAAATGTAGACAAGAATTTTGAGAAAGACCATGACAGATATCTTACTCTTAAAAATCATATTCAAATCTTAATTTTAGAGAACATCTCCGTACTGTCAGAGCGAATATAATCCAACATCTAAATGGAAACGATGACAGACTATAGTTAAATGCGTCTTATATAGATACACTAATTATGGTAGCACTTAATTTTATTTTCACATTAACATCCTATGTACTTATTGTAGTAAGTTAGTACTAAACCTGAACCTACCCCTATACCGGCTTAACTTAACCCATGTAGTAACCTTACACCACTTAGTACTTTGTGGGTAAGTATATTGAAAGTATACATACTGTAAATAAAGTGCAACCCTAATACAAATGAATAGAAATGACAATGCACAAAAAATACTAACATTTAATAACTCGTCCAATACATTCTTTAGGTTAGGTAAGGTGATGTGATACTGTTAGACACATTTATAATCTACCCTGTCAATCATAATATGCGATATGGTTATCATCAAGCATGTCCTAACTCACATACCCATTCAATCAAATATGTCAAAATAGCTCAACTCGTTCACTTACCCAAAAAGAATCTTTGAATTGTAACGGTGTCATTCTAAAGGCAGTTTACAGTAGTGAGAACGATGCAAGCACACAGAAGGAATCAAAGGTGGAATTAAGAAAAGTAAAAGACAGAACAGACAACGCCACGCGCAGGAAACCACAGTTTCGCAGCACTCTTGCTGCACAGGTTTGACTCAGATAAGGAAGCTCCCTCCTATTATGTCAATGACCACATAGAGCCTGCCCTACAGATAGTATGCATGCATTCAGACGCCATTTGAATATCAGATCGGATGACACATCTGAAACAGTGGGGTTTTGGAAACTGTAAAGTTATTAAAGTTAGTTCAGTTAAGTAGTTTAAGTAAATCAAGCTAAATCAAGACCAACATTGATGTGATTATCTTTTGACTGCAAGCAACAGCACAGTAAACTGAGTTTGATTTTATAGAGGGAGCAAAAAGAAAAGGCACTTTTCAAATAAAAGGCAACATCACAGGTCAAATCAGATAATAGCATTGATAAAAGTAAAACTCATCAAATACAAACTAATGCGTAAAAACTGTAGTAGTCTTTCTTTGTGGCACCACAAGAAGTATTTATAAATGGTTTCAACTATTACAACTCATCATGTGGCACATGGAGCTGTCTTCCATAATCGGTCACTTCACTGTTCATGAAAGTGTCTTGGTTTTTTAAAATCTCTGCCTCTGAGAGCCTTTCATCACCATCTTGATCCAATTCCTTGATGAGATGAATAGCCTGTATAACGATCAAGAAAAAAAAATATTTAGAATATATTGTTAAAAATGTAAAAAAAAAAAAAAAAACTCGATGCATGATATATCGGCCACCATACCGGTATCAGCAGATATATGTTCATTAGAATGTTGTTATTATGGGCCCAAGAAGAAAATTTGACCTATATATTATAGCCGCTAAAATAATGGATTATTTCCTTCAGCCGAGACATCACTTCAGATACGCATGCACTGTTAGCCATTGCTTGAAATATGATTGGAATCACTTCAAAAAGAAAATACGGTTACGTAAGTGCAACATGTGCAGCGCAAGTCTATCATATAGGCTTTATAACATTAAAATTTGGATTTAGATTTATCGGCCAATATATCGGTTTTCAAATATAAAGAATTATTAGTTATCGGTGGAAATTTTCATATCGGTGCATCCCTATTAAAAAGTACATAAGGCAGCTGGATGACACATTGACTCACTTCTTCTCGTGCCGACCCGTAGCTGTTCGGAGCGACCCAGCGGAGCTGTTCATCCCTGTTGAGTTTTCCATCCTTATCCTGGTCATAGAGATCTTTAAAGCGCACCGTTTCCTCAACCTCCCACTGCGAGGGCTCGTCCTGCTCTTAAACACAGACAAGCAAACGTTATGTTTCTGATAATAATCCAACACAATCTTGGAAAATGTTCAGATGCGAACACCTTGAGTTCCCATAAATCAGATTTGTCTGATTTTAAATTAAGCCAAATGTGTATGATGTACAGTATGGAAGCACATATCGGTTATCGGCTGATAGTAGCATTTTTTTTATGTATTATTATTGGTCAATATTTGATTGTAAATGCTTCTTTTCCATAATCTAATCTTTAAAAATCTTAAAAATGTATTAACACTGTCAAATGTAAATAGAGCTGCACGATTCTGGATAAATTGAGAATCGTGATTTTTTCTTGATTCAAATTCAAAAGAGATTAAGATTCTCCAATGATGAACAGACAATTAAACAAAATAACGTGATTTATTAGAGGTTCTGACTAACAGTTAATTGCTGCTGTTAGGCTGGAAAAACTGGAAGAGAAGCTCTTCTCTGAGAAAACAAAGGAAATTAACATTTGTACACGTTTGGTATCATTTGAAATGTCTCAACTGGTGTGACTGGTATAAAGGTCTCATTCCCAAGAGGCTCGGGGCGATTTGTAACTCAAATTAAATAAATATTGAAGGACCTCAGGGCTTCAGCATTATGTATTTTTATAAACGTCGGGTTTAACCTACATCTTTCACTAATGTGATGTTACTGTATTTATTATCTTTGAACTGATTATGAATATGAAATTGGCATGATACATTTACCTGACATGATAAATTGTATTTTATTTTATTCTAAGAGACTCTGACATTATTTTCAGTAAAGAGTTAAAAAGAACAGGCAAACATTCGCATACATTTAATGATGCACAGATATCATTAAAACCTTTTCATTTATAGAGTCAGATGAAATAATGAGTTAGTACATGAAACAATCTATTTAATTTAATCAAATTACTTTGCCACAAGGAAAGGCATTCCTTCACCGCTGATCAGATGCCGGCCAGTTAAGCCACTGCCATCCATTTAAAAAAGTGTTTATTTATTTGAAAGATAAAAAAAATGATTCAACGACTCACTCATAAATACAGCCATTTATCAGTTATTGGATTATTTTTCTTTTGTATTAGTACATCACTAGTGTAATGACTATACACTGTTATTTATCCCAACATAATCATACCATATGCTCGGAGATCTCCAATGAATTCAGTCAAGCTGATGAATCCATCTTTATCCCGGTCATATTCAGTTAGCACATCTTCAATAGCAAAATCCTGGGGAAAATGCAACCACACAGCACATAGTCATTTCATGGATGTTTAATATGGAACCGTATTTATGATTTATTGTAGCTTTATTGTATACTTACAGCCATGTGGTCCACCTCAGATGGATGAGTAAATGCAAGGAACTCTGTTAAGTTCAGGCCAACTGAGCCATCCATATCGGCAAAATTAAAACGTCTTTTTTCCTTTGCATGGAGCTGTGAGTGGATAAAACCATTATTATTATCAAACACGCAACACTTTTCATTCCCATTCCATAATATGAAATGCTAATGAATCATGCAACATACAAATCTAAGTGACTCCTCCTCTGGGTCCTCAAGAACAGCATCTGTATCCACTTCCACAGTATGACCATGCATGACTATATTGTATTCGTCCCAAGATACCAGACCATCATTGTTGGAGTCAAACTCAGAGAAGCGTTCCTCAGCATCATCCAGCGCATATCTTCTGTACACCCTTTGTATCCATAATGTGATTTCCTCTAGAGAAGCAACAGAGAATGCTTATTAATTATAACATACACTACTGTTTAAACATTTGGGGTCAGAAATATATTATTTTATTCACCAAGGACACAATTAAATTGATCAAAAGGGACAGTAAAGACTTTTTACCACAAATTTGCTTAATAAATAAATGCTTAATAATATTCAACAATATTATTGATATAATGATACAATATTCTTACTGACTGCACTGACACTGTTATATGAGAACTGATCTGGACAGAGACAATTTTTTTGCAGAACAGCTTTATACAGTTGTGGTCAGAATTAATGGCACCCCTGGTAAATATGATCAAAAATGGCTGTAAAAAAAAAAAAAAAATTTAAAAAAAATTGCAAACATCTTACCTTTCATTGAAGTAAAAGAATTGAAAGTGCAGGGGAAATTACATTATGAAACAAATGTGTTTCTCCAAAACACATTTGTCACAAATATTGGCACCCTTTTACTAAATTCCTTTTGCAATGCAACCTTCTTTTGCCAAGATAACAGCTCTGAGTCTTATTTTATTTTTATTTTTTTTTGCCATTCATTTTAAACCACAACTGTAGATAAAATGAACTATTTTAATAATAGATGATTTCAGAGAAATACCAAAGAAACCTGGAGAGAGAGAAAAAATAACGATTTCCGCAAAATATTATGCAGCACAACTGTTTTTAACACTCATTATAATAAGAAATGTTTTTTGAGCACCAAATCATAATTTCTGTGTGATCATGTGACACCGAAGACTGAAGTAATGATGCTAAAAGGTCAGCTTTGCATCACAGAAATAAATTATGTTTTAAAACATTTTAAAATATTAAACACTTTATTTTGCAATGATATTTCACAATATAACTGTACTTTTGATTAAGTAAATCTAGCCTTAGTGAACATAAGAGATTTCTCTCAAAAACATTTACAAAATCTATGTTAGTAGATCATCTGACATGTCTTATGTGTACATGCTAAAATAAATGTCAAGTAACCAAACGAGAACTGACCTGCAGTCAGGTATTTATCAGAGTTGGTGTCAATCTTTTTCACTATCTCCACCATTCGCTTATGCTGCTCAGATGGATTTAGTTTCTTTATTTCATCTTTGTCCTGAAAATCAGTAATAGTTTGTAGAATGAAACTGGATCACATTAAAGATTTAAATAACTGTTATAAAAATAAAAAAAAACATGGAGATGATACCTTAGAGCCAAGGAACATATTTGCATTATGTTCATGGTTATGTTGATCCTCTTGGACAATTTGGCTGCCAATAGCTCCTGATGCACAACAGGCCACCAGTAATAATAGAGCTGTGTATACAATCTTTAAACCTGATAAACACACAAATACAAACAAATTAGGAGAAAATCTGTCATTAATTAACTATGTCATCCCAAACCTGTAAGACTTGGTCTTGACAAACGTGTTTAAGACCAAGGTCAGACTGGAAATGACCTTAGTAGAGTCACACGACAAATGTGTAAGGGAGGTCAGCAAAGAAATCTGTAGTTGAGGCAAATGCTGCCCTTCAAATTGGGGATATCGTGGGACAGGTACAGCATGAAAGAGGGGGTTTTGGGCTCAGTTTAGCTCCTCCTAAATGGCACAAGGCAGGCCTAGCTCAAAGGAGGAAGCTGGTAGCCAACGAGGTGCGAAAGCAAGAGGAGAGGATGAGGTTTATAAAGGCCATATGGTTGGGTTGCGGAGAGATTGTGGTTAGGTCTCAGCAGCAGGAGGGATGCAGAGGTCAGTAAGCTGGGCTGAGTTGAGTGGGGGACAGAGGGGGGTGACTCTGGGATGACAGAGTCACTGTCGAGCCCTCTTGAGGTGTCATGGGCTAGTCGACGAAACACTGTACACTTGAAGACCCTAGAGATGTCCCCTACTCGGCTCAATCCAGACGGTTGTCGTGGTGGTCCACTAGGGAGACCACACTGTAGTTGCAGCCGTCGTGTGTGCTGACGCGCCAAGTAAATGAAAGAACAGAAAGCTCTGAGATTTCTTTAAAAAGATCTTCATTTGAATTCTAAAGATGAACAAAAGTCTTACAGGTTTGGAACTACATGAGGGTCAGTAATTGGGCTAATGACAGAATTGGTGAAATATCCCTTTACCAAGATGATCTCGACTGCCCTCTTGTGATGATGGGCTACACATTCCCATGTCAAAGCATCTATATCGACGTTGGTAAGGAAGGTAGGAGAGTAAGAAAGAAGAGCTTTCAAATAATAGCAGTTAGGGTTGCCACCCGTCCCTTAAAATACGGAATCGTCCCGTATTTGTGAAATAAAAAGCGCGTCCCGTTTTGAATCAATACGGGACGCGATTTGTCCCGTATTTCCGAACGCATGATCCCATGCAAATCATGCCACCCGCATTCTGTGAAGACGCGTACTATTCTACCCTTGATTGGGTAATACGCGCTGCCATTGTTGGTTTGATTGGTTTGTTTAACACCATCAGGTTCAGGGCCAATCAGAGTCAGAAGAGGGCGGGTCTTTAGGCATAGAGTTTTGTTCACCTCTGAAACGAAAGCGTATGCAAAAGTAACGACGAGAGTGTGAGGAAACAAAAATACTTCGCTGGAAAGTGTCAGTGGAAATGAGTAGCCTAAATAAGTTATAATAAGAAATAAGAGAGAGATATTAAATACATATTTAATAATACAAATGTGAATGTTGTGGAGAAAAATAACTTGCTTGACAAACCCAGAGAATTCCATAGGCTATAATAGAATTAACAATAGCCTATGTCTGAATACATAAATAATAAATAGATTTTCTTACCAATAATACAAATAGTCATATCAACAGACATAATTTTACATAGACCCACACCCACACATAAACAAATAAGGATTTTACAGTAGGCTATGGATAATACTAATAGCCTAATTATAATGGAATCAATTTCACAAGAAGTAGAGTAATTAATTTGCCCGTGGTTGCATTTTAGTGTCTTTGTTTCCATGATGAGTCTAGAGAACATGCGACTCAAAGCAGCATGCCGTGACCTATGGCCGTGACAGACCAATCCTTGCTTTTAAAGGTATAGGCCTATGGTTTTTTTGGTTTTTTTTTTTTCTTTGGAAAATAAATATATAATATTAATATACAGAGCTTGGTTGACAGGTAACCTATTTGTTAATGTTATTAAACAGATTAATAAATTTAAACATTATAATTTGCATTATTAAATATTAATCATATATGCATACTAAATTGTGATCCTATCTGTTATACACACTTTATGGCAATTAAAAGAAAGTTTTAAAAGTGCTACATTATTTAAATAAAAAATAGACAATTACATAACAATTTCAAAATCAAATTCAAAATCAATTTTAGTAAATAAGAACAATCCATGCATAATTGTCAAAAACATGATGAATGGTTCTGTAATCCCTAACATATACAGAAGAGTTTATATAAGTAAATAAGAGTAAAATAATAAAATGTAAAATAATAATATAAAATGTTTTCTGTTGCAAGCTCACATCCTTGATCTATTTTTTTCTCGTGGTTTATTGTTGAGCTGTCAAGTTGGCATGTTGAAATAATCAGTTCCATACGACACATTTTTTTTTAAAATTTAATTTAATTATTTATTTATCTCGTGTATGGGTGTCCCTTATTTTGCCTCACTGAAGGTGGCAACCCTAATAGCAGTGTGTAGCCAAAATATATATTTAAAGAAAAATATACATAACATCTATCTCCTTTTGTGTTATGATGACTTTCTGATATTGTGGAAGGTGCTTTGGATATTGTAAGGCGTATTTTATTTTTTTATCTAAAAAGCGACTAGAAAACGTGCAAATTCATGCCAAGGATCACACTCTATTATTCATTTATTTAAGGCACCTACAAGAATAATCCACCATACGTGTTTAAGAAACAAAATACTTACTTTCGAAAGGCTGGTTGCTAAAGTTTTGAGCTGAGCTTGTTGCCATGGTACGCTCCGGTCATCTGGACTCTCACTTCCTGTGTGTACTGTTACCGCCACCTGCAGGATTGGAGGATGAGCAGAGAAAGTCCCCATGAAATCAAGATGAACGAGACACCCCTCGCTGCAGACTGTCTGTCATTCCCGGTCATTCCCTTTTACTGTCTATTTGGTCATTCCTGAAATGTAGTGAATGTACTGCAAATTATGTTAAATACATTTGTGGTTAAATTAATTAAAAAGTAATGTAGTTGAACATTGTATTTTGCTAAAATATAACCACAGAATCATGTGTGAGGTACTGAGATCAGTAACACAAACACTGACTTTGCATTTCAAAGTGGTTTTAAAGGAGTAGTTCACTTAAAAAAAAAAACTTTTGCAGATAATTCACCCCCATGTCAGAGCCGTTAAATATGATATGTTAAGTATGATTAATATGTTTTTCAACGGCTCTGCCCCATGTCATCCAAGATATCCATGTCATTCTTTAGAAAAGAAAAGAAATTAAGGTTTTTGATGAAAACATTCCAGGATTTTTCTCAATATAATGGACTTCAATCAATGGGAACTAACTGTTCAAGGTCCAAAAGACACTTTCAGTGCAAACTGTTCAAAAGGCTTTAAACAATTTTAGACGAAGAATAATCTTCTATATCTTTTATAATCTTTTATAATCTTATCTAGTGAAACGATCGCTCATTTAAAAAAATAATAACAAAGTTTAAGTTTTATAAACTCAAAAGTTTTTTTAAAAAAAAGTGAACTACTGCTTTTACTGCTTTTCATTTGAAAATTTAAAACGATCAGTTGTATGAAATAGCCTTTGCTTTATCTCGATCAATTCCATGATCATTAAAGTGTATCGCAATTTCTTCTTAATTAAGGAAGTAGACAAGTTGGCAAAGCAAGTTATGGAAATGAATAAAGTTGATATGCAAATAGGCCCATGTATAGCATTTGAAAGTCATTTATAAAATGGCGGCATTGTTGAGATCATAGATACAGAAGGCAGCAAGGTAGACATTTGGCTGGGGAGACCAGCGAATGGTTTCTGAGAGAATAAAGTTAATATAATATCATATAAATACTTAAGACATTACAGCAGGTGGCGTCGTTGCTCTATCCGCCGTTAGATAACCAAAATAAGCGTGTCGCGTTTTCTGACCTCCAGATGTCGCTGTTTCTCCGTGATCTTTACTCTCCGATCTCCAGCAGGAACTGACGTTTGTGTCTACGACTACATGTACATGAGCAAATTTTCCAGCTGGAGGAAAATGTCCAGCGTCAAAGATCCGAGAGTCTGAAGGTGGGAATCGTCATTTATTTACACAAATTCTTATTAAGCCGTTAAGTTCGCCGTCAGCTCTTTTCTTCTGCCAACCGGAAGTATTGGATGTTCTGATTGTAGGATGAGTATTTGTGTTGTTTGTTTTTCTTTTGCTTGTGTTTCCACTTTTGTTGGCGCGTAGAGTGCGCCGAAATATGTGCACAAACATTGCGTAAAGTTTCTGAAACTACTTTCTAGAAGAGATATATTGTTTAAATCTTTATACATAGTCTTTTGTGATGTTTTACCATGTCGGGGTTTTCGTGGCAGGTTATTTACAATGCTGACAGCAACAATTGATTAGAGACATTAATCTGCATTGGCAATCTAGACACTGTTGTTGTGGTCAAGTTAGCTTGATGAGCTCTTTTTGTCGCATTCTTTGCACCCATTATGAACTTTTGTTTAGTTTCTGAAATATCTTTCAAACTGTATTTATCCTTTATTCAGTAAGATAGGATGGGGTTGCTTTCTATTTGGTTAACTAAGTTACTGTTTGGATCATTTAAATTGAACATAATTTCTAATGCGTGATAAAAAGCCCTCTTGAGTTCAGCTGCAACTCAAGTAACGATAACTTATCTAACAGTTTTTGCTACACCGGGTGAAGCCTATTTGTTACAATTTAACATTAATTCTTATATAATAGCTAATATTTAGTAGCTTATTCTTTCATCTGTATTTAAAGTTAAAATCTTGCTGACCCTTTTTTTATGCAAGAACATGTAATGCACTCATTTGCATATTTACTTGGACTGGATTTCAAACAAACTGAAATATCACAGTCGACATGTGTGTAATAATCATAATATTGTAACGTTTCTAATAGGAATAATAGCTCTTTTGTACGCTGCTTGAGTCAGTATTGTTGCGATAACTGACTGGGGAAGCAGGTTTTATCTTGTTTTGTTTTTTACTATGCATAACTAAAATAAGCGTGTTTAAATGTGGGGATTCAGCACGTATGTCCTCTTTAAAACTTCAACTGAAGTAGTTGCACATAATCGTGTTGTTCCTGCAGTGTTGCGTCATTGAATGCATGAATCATGTGCTTTGACCCTTGCTTATGCTAGCTGAATATGCATACCGGTATGCAACTTAGTCTTTTATATCTGCCATTGTTTTCTGTCACGTAAAGCGACTATTGTGTCTACTGTAAACAGGACCGATGTAATGTCATGTTTCACAAATGCGTGCTCTATTGTCATCCATCATTCATTTACCCTTCTGAACTTTCTCACTGTCTTGGGAACTATCTGTCTTCTCTTGACTTGTTTTTGCAAGTGCTTAGAAAAGCATCTGAAACCAAACTCGGTGCATTTCGAGTCATTCTTTGTGTTCAGTACATTTCTGAGTCTTAAAAGTTAGTTGATATTTGTAAACTGACACATTTAAAAGCCATATGCTTTTCTAGTTATTCATTTCTGTATTTTGATAAGTAAATTTATTAAGTACAAAAGGATATTTAGCTGTCTGTCTTCCATTATTATTTGACACCAGCTAAAGGAGCAGTTCACTTTTAAAAAAAACTTTTCTGATATTTTAATCACCCCCATGTCATCCAAGATGTCCATGTCTTTCTTTCTTCAGTCGAAAAGAAATTAAGGTTTTTGATGAAGACGTTTCAGGATTTTTCTCCATATAATGCACTTTACTGGGTACCAAACGGTTCAAGGTCCAAAAGACAGTTTCAGTGCAAACTGCAAGCTGTTCAAAGGACTTTAAACGATTCCAGACGATGAATATCAAGCGACACGATCGCTCATTTAAAAAAAAAAGTTAATGTTTTATAAGTTCAAATGCTCGTCCTTTTCTGCTTCTCAGTCTAGAAAGCTCCAAATTCAAAAATAATTTGATGACGCATTCTAAATACACATTCATCTTTCCAGAGGTGAAGTATCCCTTTAAGTGTTATTTCTGGGCAACCGTAATCAACTAAACTCTGCGTTACTTGTCCATAATACCCCTAAATGATACATTCTTCCTTGCCTTGACTTGTTAGAGACAAGGTTTTTTCAGTCTGTTTCGTTGTCTTGTCACTGTAATTCTTAACATAAATCAGTCCTGGCCTATTTTTGTGGGTTTTTGCACATAATCAGTGAAGCTGCGAATAAGGTGCTGAAACCCAGTTCTGTCTGCAGTCTGTACCTAATTGGTTCTGTTTCAGCTGCAAGCTGGCATGTCCTGGGCCTGCAAGGCACAGGGAAATGTCTGGTATGTGCCTGTAAACGCCTGCCATTCACCCATTAAATCCGAAGTTTGATACGCCCTCACTGACCATTCACGTGAACTGTATTTTCCCGCTGATGTTCTGCGCATTTCACAATCTAAAGATTTCTCATATCCAAAATATTCAGGATGCTTTTGTAAGAAGAAATCTAAAACATGAGATTGTTGATTTATAATAGATTTGACAGATTTTCTAGTGCAGATTGACTGATTTTTTTTTTGTTTTTTTTAAACTGAAACTTACATTTGAACAAAATGGATTAATTTGTTTGATTCGGGACAAAATGTCATGCTAGTGTTGATGCATTATGTATGTGAATGATAGAACCTTGAATATGACCACACTATTGTGAACAGGATATTTGATTGTTAAAAATGGCCCAGAGCTACTTGGTATATTGACCACTGCCTTTAAAAATAGCACCACAAATGCATCATTGTTTGCACTGAACATGCAATACAACCTTTGAAAGCATTAATGTCCTGAGTATCTAACATTGAAATGTACGATTCTCTCAATTTCTTCCCGTAGGCACCTGTTGTAAAGTTCCCGTCAGAGCCCAGTGGTCTCCCCATGTACATAGCAAGGCAAAGCTGACACCATGGCCCACATATCCAGTGGCAATGGGTTTAAGTTTGACAGGCCAGCCTCTCCCGGTGTGGTCCGGCCCAAAGGGATTGTGGGAAAGGAGGAGGCTTTACGCATGGAGGTAGAGGCCTTGGATAAAATAAAGCGTGAGAAAGTGCACACACTCCCAGTCACCGCGTCTTCTGTTAATCTCCTTCCCAAACCGACGGGTCAAACATCCACTAGCCGACAAGAGAAAGACCTCATTGTGTTCTGTGAATCAGAAACGCAGAGGAAAGAACAAAAAGACAATTTTGAGGACATTGATTTGGATAAGCTGACCACGGAGGAGCTGGAAAAGCTGCTTCTGGATGACAGTTTTGGCACAAACAAAATGACAAGACCTTCCTCTTTGCTAGGTTGCAATCTCAGTGCATCATATCCTGGAGGACATGCGTTCAGCCCCTCATCATTTCACTGGACACCCACTCCAACACATGCACAGACTCCCATTCACCCCTCTGCTCCTTTCCTGAAGCCTCCATGCCCTTTCCAGAATGGCTTTAGTCCAGCTATGTCTCCCTTTATTAGTCTTTCGGGCCATCCGACCCCCTTCCTCTCATTTACACCCATACAGCCACCTGCTGCTCTGGCCTACTCACAGCCTGCCGTCTCCCCAGAGATGGCCAAGCTGTTCGACAAAATTGCCAGCACTTCAGAATACTTGAAGAACGGCAGGTCCTCCAGCATGGAAACGGATTTGGGAAGCGCCAAGTCCTTGGAGCCATTGCCTCAGACCTCAGAACCTCCCAACATCAGCCAGTTTGAGTGGCTGGACCTGGACCCGCTCAACAAGCACAAGGAGGTGGAGGTAGAGGAGACGCTCTCGGTATCAAGTGGTCTTTTCGTAGAGAAGTCTGGGAATGCTAGAGACCCATGGGATGCTGTTCTTCAGGATAAGCCTGAAG